TCCACCGCTTCGCCCGCGTTTTATTCTTATTGTTATATTTTTTATTATTATTTCACGCCCTCGCTGCAATAGCGTCTTTCCGGCCCACCTGTTTCACGTCTGCCTCCAGAAACGTCCGTGAAGACGATCGCCTCTCGTTATGCAATGAATGTCGCGGCGTCTCCTCTCGGTGGTGTAAGGTTAGGCTATAGGTTACGTCTTCGCCGCATCGCCCGGGTAATGGTGCCCTATAACTTCTCAGCTCAAAGCGTCGTGGCGCAAGGTCACTGGTACAGTTCTCCGGGTCGGCGGCAGCGCATTCCGGAGACGGCGGTAGCGTCGAGAACCTCTAATGTGTCCGTTACGTTTGGGCGTGAGACAGATTTTAATACCTCCGATGGTTGAGATTGAATCGGATGCCCTCCCGCTAATACAGCGTCCATCTTACACATCCGCGGTGATTGCAAAATTTTCTTGCCTACTCCGAAAGTAAAATGACGTACAAGCGGACAATTGTTACAGCGAGAGCTCAGAACGACGACAAAAGGGCAAGAGGACGAGTGCTAACTTCCAACTGAGTTTGGCAAAAGATGAGTTTGTTGATGTTGTTGTTGTCGTCGTCGTCGTCGTCGTCTTTTTTGGCCTTACTCATCTTTGCATAGCTCATCTTTTGCCACATGGTTTCTTGTCTCCCATAAATGTTTTCGTGCTCTGCACAATAAACTCAGTTGGAAGTTAGCGGTCGTCTTGCTGCTCTTTTGTCGTCGTTCTGAACTCGCGCTGTAACAATCGTCACGACCTATCAACTAACCCAAACCGCCACTCTTCCAAGAACTAGCAGGGATAGTGATATCTGCTGGACCGTGCAGACCTGTTCCATGTGTGTAAACAGCGGTGGGCGCCGCCGTATACATACCAAGTGGCTTGTTGCGACTTCACAAGCGCCCCAGTATGTCGACGGCGCCTACCGCTGTTTACAAACATGGAATGTGTTTGCACGCGCAAACTGACACGTACAGTATAACAGGGCAACAAGCCTGAAGGCAACACCGAATGCTTTAGATATTGCAGCGATGAAAATGCTGCTCCAATTGCACCAAGGAGGAAGCAACAAAAAGGGAGAAGGCAGGGAGGTTAACCAGAAAGACATCCGGTTGGCTACCCTACACTGGGGGATAAAGGAAGGGGACAAGAAAGACGAGAAAGAGGGAAGAGAGGGAAAAAAAGGGGGTGAGGGAGAGACTGACAGTAATTTCACTGCAGCGTGTAGAACTCTACCGCATGTCAGAGGCGTTCACACAAGCCTGTCTTTCTCAGGAAACGCAGCAGGGCTTTCACTGCCTTGTGGGCTGTCGAGGCATGTGTACGTTGCTGTAATAGCACCTGCACAGAAAGAGGCCGATCATCCAGTCGCCGCATTGCGTTGGCAAGTACTTGTCTCTCTGAGGCAAATCGAGGACAATGACACAGCAGGTGTTCGATGTTTTCGTCGGTGCCGCAAACATCGCACGCCGCACTGTCAGTAATTCTGATTAACGTGGTATATGCTTTCGTGAAAGCAACTCCCAGCCAAAGGCGATAGAGAAGCGAAGCTTCACGTCGATGTAGGCCGGGTGGAGGCCGGAGTTGTAGTGAAGGGTCGAGCTCGTGCAGTCGTGTACGTCGTATGCTTGGTGTGTTCCACTCAGTCAGTGTGAGACTGCGGGCCAGTTGACGAATCTGCCTCGCCGCATCCGCTCTTGAAAGCGGTATCGGAACGCTGTTCGCTTCTTTATGTGACGTGCGAGCAGCATGATCTGCAGAATCATTGCCGCCTATACCACTATGCCCAGGTAACCACTGAAAGACGATGTCATGGCCTTTTTGTATTAACAGGTGGTGAAGTTTCACGGTTTGGTAGGTCAACTGGTCGTGGCATCCGCGTCGGAGAACTGATATCAGGCACTGTAACGCTGCTTTTGAGTCAGAAAACACAGCCCATTTACCTGGTCTTTCTTCTGAATTGATGTGTTCCAGTGCATTGCGCAGAGCCTCGAGTTCTGCCGTCGTCGAACTTGTCACATGTGAAGTCTTAAAACACCGAGTTATACCTTGTGATGGTATAACCACTGCTCCACCTGAACTAGACGGCGTAGTAGAGCCATCCGTGTAAATGTGCACGTGGTTACTGTAGTTTTCTTCCAGTAGGGATAGACTCAGTTGTTTTAGGGCATGTGTCGGTAAGTCCGATTTTCTCCTCATTCCTGGAATCATTAAGTGAACTCGCGGCCGGCTCAAGCTCCAAGGAGGAAGCAGTGGCTTTGATGCAGGTGCGTATGTCTCAGCAAACGATGAACGATGCTTGGAGACAATAGTGCCGTATGTCGTGCGGGGCCTTTCAGCAGCTAGGCTCGCCAGGTGGTGAGAAGGGGTCCTGGCATAATGCCTGAGGTGCATGCGCATTGTCTCGGTAATAATATGCGTATTTATCGAGTGATCTTGAGCGATGGCAATAGTTTCAGCCGTTGAAGCACTGCGGGGTATTCCAAGGCATATCTTAAGTGCTTGTGCTTGAATGCTCTGAATTGCGCGCAGGTTGGTCTTGCCGGTGTTAGACATTGCAGGTAAGCTGTACCGTAAGAATCCGATAAACAGCACTCTGTACAGTTGTAGCATGGATGATATGGGCACTCCCCAATTTTTTCCTGCAAGGAATTTGAGCATGTGGCATGTTGCGATCAGCCGCTTCTTCACATAGTTCACGTGTGGAGTCCACGACAGGTTTCTATCTATTATGACTCCCAAGAACCTGTGGCTTCTGCTGAACGATATGTATTCTTCATTAATCGATATACTGTAAGCAGACATTGGTTTCCGTGTGAACGCTACCACTGCACATTTTCCGCAGGACACCTCGAGGCCTTGTTTACGAAGATAGCATGACGCCGTTGTAGCAGCCTTTTGAAGGCGGGCGCGAAGCTGAGGCCTTGTCACACCTGATGTCCAAATGCAGATGTCATCAGCATAGACAGAAAGTTGTACAGTGCTAGGTAGCTGCTCGACTAGACCAATGAGAGTTAGGTTGAAAAGGGTAGGGCTTAGCACTCCTCCCTGAGGAACTCCTCGGCTGCTGTAATAATCAGGTGTTGGGCCATTCGCTGTCATCACGTAAAATGATCTCAGCTGTAAGTAGCTGCACACCCACATATATATCTTGCCACCAAGACCTACTGTTTCCAAAGCATCAAGGATGGCTTCATGGGTGACATTGTCGTAAGCCCCCTTAACGTCTAGAAACAGGGCGGCGCACAGTCTCTTACAGGCTTTCTGGTGTTGAACATATGTCACCAGATCAACAACGTTGTCGATTGACGAATGGCCGCGCCTGAATCCGGTCATGGATATTGGATAGATTTCGTAGTGCTCTAAATACCACTCCATTCGTGTTAGAATCATTCGTTCCATCGTTTTTCCCACACAACTGGCAAGTGCGATAGGACGGTATGAGGCAATATCCAAAGGAGATTTACCAGCCTTTAGAAGTGGAATGAGGCGACTTGACTTCCATGCCTGGGGAACAGTACCAGTCTGCCAGGAGTCGTTGTATAGGCGTAAGAGTGCCTTCCGAGCTTCGTCTCCAAGATTACAAAGGGCACGATAGGTAATGCCGTCAGGACCGGGTGCTGAAGAACGTCTGCACAGAGCCAGTGCCGCCTCTAGCTCATCCATAGAAAACTGGCATTCCATACGGGGATCACGTGAGGGCGGTGGGTTGTCAAAAGTTCCCGTTCTCGATACTGTGAAATTGGAATCACCGGCAATTCTTCTACAGAAAGATTCTGCGACGTCAATCTCTCTGCATCGAAGGTGAAGTGCCAGAGATGTAAACGGGTGTCGCTGACCCAAGGTTGTGCTAAGACCCCGGACAGTTCGCCATATCAGTGATAGGGGCTTTCGTGGATCCAACGACTTGCACCAAACTGCTCCAAAAGACAACGACTTGCACCAAGCTGCTCCAAAAGACAAATGCTGCTGCTCTGAACTGTGATTATTGTTAGTAACTGCTCCGTACCTGCTTCGCAATGGCATTGGGAGACTAAAAACAATGAACTGCTACCGTGCGACCATCCAGCGAGCCTAAACAAAGCGAATCACGAGATGTATACTATCATCGTAATAATATTCTAGTGTGCGGCTTGCATACTAGCTATAGGTACTTGCATATTGGCGATGCCACAAGTGCTGGCATTATATATGATTTGGCTCCATATTTGTACCTCACAAGTGGACTATTTCGTCGAAATGTATGCGAAATTGGTTCGATATCCTACTGATTACTAACTTCTGCTGTGACAACTTTGATGTGAGACTGATTACATTTACCACTTTATCAGCTCTGATCTCAATGTCACTTCTATCTCTGCTATTGTCAATTACCTTTTTTTTTCCTATTATGAGTGACAGTTGACCGTGTGTTTCGTGCTAGCCGCAATAACGTGTGTTCGCGTAAGCGAAATCTACTGAAGGTGTATTGCTGAAGTGACCCGAAACCAAGGTTTGGGGGTTTTCCTTTTACTTCATGCGACTGTCGGCTATGTCAGAAGCTGCGCTTGCGTTCTTTTGCCGTTTTTTTTTTTTGTCACTGGTAAAATCGACCTTGATACTGAAGTGGTTTGTATAATTGTCTCTACGATACTAGCGATTAGAATCCGCAGCTAAAGAGCTGTGTAAGAAAGCGTTTCCTCGATTGTACAACTGAGATATGGTTCGCTGCAGTTTAGAAAGCGTTGATTGGGCGTGCCGTTAAGTTAGTCTCTCCTGTGGCTCGACACACACTACTCGTGAATGTACAGTTCCGTTTCCTGTAAAAGGTCTAGGGGGAGCCGGATGTGTGGGAAATAGATTCACTTAAGTAAGTCTAGTGGTCTGTTATTTGAGGACAAAGAACATCACTAAGATATTGCTTTTTGATTCGCATTTCTCGTTATATTGTGGTGTCAGCTATGACGATACTCAAGCTTTTCTTTTCTTTTTTTGCGTAGCAACAGGATGACCTGTCCAAGAGCTCGACCCCTCTGCTGACGCCCAGCCCGCAGTCCACTCCCCCGCAGGCTGCCGAGAGGGCCTCTTCACACGTGACCCAGAGCCGCGAAGAAGACGATACGTCGTCCGTCGAGGTGATCGCTGCCTCGCCGACGCCCACGAGCGAGGAAGAAGGGGACGACCGCTCGACGCCTCGTCTCGAGACCCCGGTCTCTGACAAAGGTTCTTCGGCCGTCAACGGCGGCGGCGGCTCCCGTAGCTCGGAGCTGCGCTCCTCCACGTCCTCGAGTCCTCGGGACTCTCCGGTCTTCGGCCGCGACCAGAAGAGCTCCGCGGTGGAGTCTACGACGACCACCACCACCGTGATCAAGACCTCGACCATCACGACGGGCGCCGACTGGCACCGACGGCTCGGGCTCGTACGATGTCCAGAAGGCGTACGACGTGCAGATCAACAACTCCGAGGTGCGCAGGATCTCGGACCTGCAGCAGCGTGGCGGGGCCGTGCTGGGACCTCTCCCTCCGCAGCCGGCTGCCAGGCAGGCCGCGCCGGCGCACTGCCGAGAGCAACGGCACGAGCCAGAACGGCGCCGCGGCGCCATACAGGAACGGGGGGTCGTTGCCTCCTCCCGGACCCGACGGGCTGAACCTGACCATGAAGGCGTCCGAGCTTCGAGAACTGCTGAGGTCCCGGAAGAAGAAGGACCCGAGGGAGACGCAGATGGACCTGCGCCAGAAGTACAAGATCATCGAGCAGATGTAGAGAGAGAGATGCACCGTGGGCTGGTTTCGGGGGACTGGACACTGTGCCCGTGCTCGTTGTCTGTGCCGAGAGGGGTTCCTTTTTTTTTTTCTTGCTTGATGGCGTTGTAATTGGCAGCCGTATTGTTGCCGAGTGCGCGGCGACGGGCAGCTTCCTTTTGGTTCCGTCTTGTCTCAGCCCGCAGCTCTTAACCCCCGGCGTTTTTTTCGCAACAGCTTGTGAAAATAGAAGGACCGATCGGTGTGTGGACACTCGCGCCGTGCGCCGTTGGTCTTATATACGCAAGGGCACGAGTGTGTGTTTTTGTCGGTGCTTTGTGTGCCTTTCGTGCCCATTGTATGGTTGTTCTTCTCGAGCAGTTTTTTTTTTCTTTCGTCTTGCGAGTTGGGAAATGTGGCCCAATCTTTGATAGCGTCTGTTTAACACATTAACAGCGCCTTCTGCTTGCTGTATAAACTGGCCATGCGTCGCACTTGCGCGAACGGCTTTCGCCAATGTGATCTTGTATCTGAAACTTTCGTACAGCTGTGACACGTGGGGCCGCTTTTTCTCAGCCACGTGGTGTATTAGCATCTCCGACCAAGTAAGCTTGAGTTGTTCGACCGGCAGCTGTCTGTGGCTCAACTGGCGTGACATTTTTGGTTGCGCCGTCAATCAAAATGAAGAAAGCAGTGTACGAGCAGCTTCGACGTTGCAAGTCACGTAGATAGGCCAGATTTGGCGTTTGTCGTGGGTCCCCAAACGTAACAACGCTTACTTTCTAGTGCAAGTCGCCAATTATATACACACCGGTCCGGCGACATCACCCCAACAGACGTCGCAATAGTTGTCGTTGTAACTTACCGGATGCTCCGTTTATTATTACTGTTTTTATGAACATGATATACACTTTAGTCTACTATATTATGTCGTTACAATTTTCGAACGATAAGGGTTCGTGACGTCATTCCTAAGCGCTGCTGCCTATGTCCGAGGCCCGCGGGCGCCGCGTTTTGTCGCGTTCATGTTGTGGCCAGCTCGTGTCTTTTTTGTTTTTGTTTTATTTCACGTTTTTCGCTATGCGCCTTGTAATGTACGTCTCGTCATTTTCCGCTGACTTTTTCTTTTTTTTGCTACCTCGAGAGTGCCTTAGATACTAATCGGTAGTTTCCTTTGTCTTATATTTGTTTGTGTCAGTCTGTCGTAACTTTTACGTAAAAGATAAATTGGATATCGCACGCGGATTTGAAGGTTTCGTCGTTCTCAAAATACTAGCCAGAAACGAATAATTAACGTGTTTCAACCCTCACGTCAATGGTTCTCCAGTTCGAACACTCGGCACATATAACATGATGGGCATGGCCACAGTAATAAAGCCAACTGATGCAGGTTGACATGGGTATAAATATTTGAAATTAACATTCGACAGAGGCACAGTTGTGATGAGAGAAGCAGGATGCAAGTGCAGACATTATTACTAAAAACTTCGAAACGCTGCTATTACAATGTGTCGTGCTTGACTGCGGTATACCAAGGACTACCTGTGCTATCGCAGAAAGCGGTTGCGGGGAAGTACGCTCATGTACTCTTTAGAGAACTTCGCGCGTTCAGCACGGGTGAACTTTGCTTCCGATGTTAGCACTTAACGTTAGCTAACGTTTCCTTTTTTTCTTTTTTTTTTCCGTTACTGCAAACTTCCGCACGCATCAGCTCGAGTTCGTGATCCAAGGACGCGCCGTCACTGTAGCGGTCGACATCAGTGCTGAGCTAACACCACCACGTTTTCGCACGCAGTTTGTTAAAAAAAAAATGAAGCTGTAAATCGTGTCAGTGTTTGCTGGACGTGCAAAGTCGACACCCAAAGGTGTGGAATCTGAAAGGGATCACGAAAGTTCTGTATGTAGGTCATTCGACGTATATTTTGTACACCGAAAGGATATTAATGGGTATTTTTTGACTGTTACATATACGCGATAAATTGATATGCGAGTTCAATTCGTGCTGGTTCGACTGACACCTACGAAAGGTGGCTCTTCACCGAGCATCGTTCCCCGGCTTGTTTTATTACATTGATGCAGCAAGTTGACTTAATGATTCTATGCTTAGCGTATCAAGTATAACACTTACCGATTTATAGAGATATGCACTGGGTTGTGCCGCCAAGCGTTACATTTAAAAGCTATGCATTAACGTTGACAGTTGTGATTTCCCGAACTTTTATATTTGTCTTTCTTTCTGCGGTTGTCTTTCACCGCATCAGAGTTAAGCCTGGCTTCGGTGCAGGCCATGGATGCTGCCACGATGTTCCTCTATACTTTCCTTGTAATACGATTTCTGTTTAGTTTTTTTGCTTCCTTTTCATCATTAGTTCAGCAGCTTCCGAAAACGTGCACACCATAGCGTGCTGAACCGTGGTATGTGCTGACGTTTTTTTTTTTTTTTTTTTTTCATCTGTGCGAGACTGTGCAAGAGAAGTGCAGGGCTCCTATAACCAGGTCTCCTCTGTGTGATCAGACGATCTTCGTGACCTACTAAGATTTTCTTTTTTTACTTTTTTATTTTGTCTTTTCCTTTGAAGTTTTCTTCCTGTGACCGTACTTAGACGAGGGTGCCGGTGATAGAAATTCTACGCGCTCCGTTTTCGCTGCACCCCGGGCTATTTGTGAACAGATGCGACCAGCATCGCCTTTCTATACGCTCGCTAAGCACGACAAGAAAAGAACAGGAAAAAAAATCGAAGATTCTTTACCTTGTTCGATCGAACGATAACGGTATCGGAAAGTCGTGCGCTACGGGTATGTTCTTCTCTACTCGCCGGGCGCGACCCGAATCTTGCATTTCTTTTTTTTTTTCCCCTTCTTCGGTTAAGCTTACGGCGTGCGTGTAAGCCACTTTTCCCCCACCACGCATCAGAGGTCTCAAATATAAAGGCGGGTGGTTGCGGTCGAGTGGTCGCAGGAGCTTTCTTCCAGACTTGGCATAATTAGTCCCGAAGTGTAATTAAATTGCACTAACCAGTGTTTCTGGAACTTTCGCAAACATAAGTAAATTGCATTACAGACTACAGCTGGTCGGAAGTAATGACATTGAAATACGTTTGAAATACGGTGGAATTACGTATAAATTACTCTAACCGAATTTCAGCAATGCGTGCAGCAAATGACAGCTCGAATGCTTTGAAGTATCCCATCACTTTGGTAAACTTCCACTGCTCGAAGATGGGCACTCGGATGAATTTGCCTTTGATATTTTTTTCTTATATGAATTTTTTATTCCGTAAAGGAAGTGCACATCCTTCATTTTAGTCAAAAAGTAATCGGGAAAGTGATGAGTGATTCTCTTGAAATTACTCAGCTTTGTAGGTTTCTGCAGTGCATCACTCGTATATGAAGTAATTTATTGTGTTAATGAATTACTAGCCCGCAAAAGGAATTCGGTAGACTGCTTATTACAGTAAAATAGTTTAATTTGTGTAATTTTGTGGCTGACAAGTCTTCTTTCGGCTCTCTTCTCGGTCGCGAAGGTAAAGCTGTGCACGAGAACGTTTAATTTCTTTGCTTTCTTTTCCTGACTTTTTGTTTGTTTGTTTTTAAGCGCCGACCTGTTTCTTAAGTCTGTTGCTGGGTTTTTCCTAGAAACGAGCCTGAGTGCCAAGTTTCCGACACTAATTACGCAGACTTTTTCTGAAACGTTTGTAACAAACCTTAGCTGCGTGGCTTTGCATCATAACCCGTTTCTTTTTTCCGGTTCCAGGTTTTTAAATGCTGTGTTCGTAGGTTCGCATTGAGTGACGTTTTCCGCAAGGTGTGACTCTTGCAACTTTGCGAGTGGCGTATCAGAAAAAAGAAAGCTCCTAATCAAAAACCAAGGTCATATATCAAACAGAGCCCAAGCAGGCCGCCGTCGTGTCATATATGTGCAATTTGTCCAAGATTTCCCGTTTCCTTTTGGTGGTACCTAATTATGTGTCTTATTATACGTCTTCCATTTCACCGGCTGCCTACGGTTTTTATCAATCGTGAAGTGAAAAACACCGCGTACGACACGTACAGAGTACAGCTTTCGAGCACTGACGTCACTAAAACCACCACGTTGCAGTACAAATATGAGACGTGAAGCTTGTGATGTCACGTTAATGTTACCAGTACATCTCATGCTGGTTCTTCCATACCTGCATCGAGACAGAAATCGTTCAGGCGTCTTCGTTGATCACAGGGGTGCCGGCTAAACGCCACGTAACTCTACTGGTGACGTCATCGAAGCTGCCATGTTGGAGTTAGTACGTCAGTAACCAGCGCCCATGACGTCACGTACCATCCATCAATAAGAATGCGAACTTGTCCAACGTCACTTCCTTTTGCCGCCTAGCTATCGTCTCTCGTCTCAGCTTTTGAGTCCCTTCACGAGTTACGGTACGCTATTACGACGCATCCCTTCGGCCAATCAGGAGGTAGATAATACTCAGTTGGTTGTCTCGAGGGGGGTTAACAGCAAGGGTTCGCCCAATCAGCGCCGATCAGCCAATCTTGATCCTTGTCTTTAGCGTGTGTCGCGTTTGCCAAGCCTAGCACAGTAATTGAGATTTCCCCAAGTATACTTGTACCTCATTGATTCAGACGTCCAGACACCGTGGCCTTTACTGCTTCTATCATTTATCTGTATTGCAGCCGTGAACGCCTTTTCGATCTCTTGATATTAACAACTTGTCATTTGTCATAGGAAGCGTCTCGGAAACTTGTCGGTGGCACTTGTCAAATGAGGATTGTCAGTTGGGTGCTACACACATTTACACAACCACCGCGGCGAGCGATAACCTTGTTCCGATCGATAACGGCGTTCGAGAAACTGATAAAGTGCCTTAATCGACTCTTCCATAGAGAAGGCTACATCATTTCGGCTGCTGGTCGCCGACACTTTTTTTCTCTTGTTGTAAAACGTGGTTGTGACGGCTGCCGCTGCACTTAAAACTTTAAAAGACTGACGTATATAGCGCCCTGTGAAGAAAGCGGAACAATCATCTACTGACTAAAACTTTTTTTTTCGGTGTACATCTTTTGAGACCTCGTGTTACGTGGAGTCGTGGTGGGCCGGTTCAGAAATTTAGGACCTAGATATATGTTGCGCGTTGACTGTGGTACAGACTGCTCGCGATTATTTCTTTTTTATGTAAACGGATTTTACAATGATAAAAGGTTTCTCTTCATTCAGTGTATGTACTCGGAAGGTTGCCCTTTGATGTGATGGTTGTATGTAATGCGTCAGACGCTGCATTAAGTGCATGTGTGCAGTGTAATGCCTTACAAGCTACTTCTACTACAGCTTGATACTGTTGTGAATGAATGGAGGCGCAAATATATAAAACCAGGCCCTCGAACCTACGACCGTTTTTTAAATGTCCTTGTCACTTCCTTATTTACACCTCTTTTTATTCTTTCGGCATTTTGTAACTTCTTTTTCTAACTTAATGTCGTGTTCTATGAGAGTGCTCCTTGTATGGTTGTTTTCAAAATTACTGTAACGTTGTAAGTGAATACTAAATTACGCCCCGTCTTGAGGCACAGTTGACGTCTGTCCGAGGTTAAGGTGGAGATGCGCCGTTGTTTCTAGCTCTTCGGTTCGAATCGCCATCTCCACTCTCTCGAGAAGGCGTTTGCCGTTGTCGCGCGGTGATAAAACATCGCCCCGTGGTTTTCAAAGTGCCTTGGTCGAGCTTTGTCAACGTATTCGCGGATCTAGCTCGTCTGTTCTGGGCCGTTCTTTCCGGTACAAGATGGCAGACAACGGATTATCTTAAGCGGCTGACTGACAGGCGCACTCTTATCGCAGTCTCCGAGTGATTGCTGACGTCATCGCTTTAGCTCGAATGAATCAGTGTACTTTCTCGATAAGACACTCACCCGTACTTCGCGAAAGCATTGCGTCACTGAAAGGGGAGGCGCAACGTCGTTCTAAATAGTTCTCGACTGTTGTGGGCCAGTCATTATATCTTGAAAAAGATGAATTTCGTGTTGCTTTGTTTTGCTCTTTGTTTTATTATCATTTTCTGCTATAGCGCTATAGGCTTGTTCGTCCTTGCGCCTCGTGTGCCTCAAACAAGAAAATTATCGATCTTCACCGGCTGCCTTATCAAAAAGATGCCGGGTTATCTCAAATATGTTAGTGACAAGCCAGTTTTTTACCAAGACATCGATAATCAGTGCCGGGTGTCCGTGTGCCTTTTTCATGTTTGCTCAACGGAAGTGCCTTCAAAAATTCGTATATATGCATGTATATTACGTACGCAGCGGAAATGTTCCCTTTTTATATGAAACGATACCCATAACACGCGCCTATATCGCGAACTCTGATCTTTCTCTATGAAAAGTAATTGTTCTTTTTTTTACAGAACCTTGTACGTTTTCGCGGGCACAATTGTAAATGGTTGTTCTCTTTCCACCTTCATTCCTTTCTTGAGGACCATGCCTATTGCTGTTCGCGCTTTTCTAAAGTGTGTTGCTTAAGGAGTGATTTTTTTTTTACATTTTTTGATGTCGTTTTGCTGTTTTGAAAACCTTGTTGTTGATGTGTTCCCTTGTCGTGGGGAAGGCAACTTGAATTAAATCAAATAAACGTCTATTTCGAAGTACCTGACCGCGTTTTCTCTGTACTCACACGTGTGCGCGTGTGTTTATGTATGTATGCATGCATGTATGTATATGTATTTATGCATGCATGCATGCATGCATGCATGCATGTATGTATGCATGTATGTATATCTATGTATGTACTATTGGCATCAAATGAAACGCGATCAGTGGAGCGCGTGACAACAGCCTTATCAATGCCATAGTGCGTGCCGTCGACCAGTCATTGGCACAGACAGGCCCGCACATCTGGTGTGGCAGTACTGCGTGATCCCCCTACAGTGTGATATTTCTGCTAATGTTCCAGGTATGGTATTTGAAAGGAACCAAATAAAAAATAAAGAGCAGCGATGGCGTAGTGGTTAGAGCATCCTCCTCGCATGCAAAAGGTCTGGGGTTCAAATCCCGGTGCCACGCAGTTCCCAACCGGATAAAAACAATCCGCGTGGTGATGGAACTGCATTACGAGGCCTGGGGTGCGGCCTCACCGGTAACCACCGCCGGGTACGCACTCCCTCACCAGAGAAGGATTGGCCACCCTGGTGCAGTATCTGGCCACTACCTCCCACATGCATACGTCAAATAACTCAGCGGCCCTCAGTCCCCAGCACTGCTGTAAGCAGCCTGACCCACGGCGGCGGTCAGATTCATGCAACGCAGGCAGATGGTGCTAAGAATCTCCTGGATCCGGACAGGCCGCCATTGGAACCTGAACTTGGCAACGATTAACGCGAGAACTTATCTAGTGGAGGGAAGTCTAGCGGTACTAGTCGAGGAGCTAGAGGGTGTGAAATGGAAATATAATGGGCCTCAGTGAGGTTCGGAGGGCAGAAGCGGCCTATACGGTGCACTATAACGGTACTATAGACAGGACACTGGCAAGCTTTGCCAGGAAACGAAGAATCTCATAAGAAGCGTCAAATCATGAAAGTCTCAAGTACAACAAACAAATAGAACTGGCAGGGCTTTCTAAGTTGATTAATAGGCGTAAGGTATCCGATGTAAGAAGGTATAACATGGAGAGAATTGAACACGCTCTGAAAAACGGAGGTACTCGAGCTCAGATGCGCCGAAAGTACACTTAGAGGCGTTCACAACGAGGCCGTATTGCTGAAGACGTTAGAACAGAGGTGGTGCTCATGATCTTCAGGTGTGCGGCTGGCGATGAGGACATCGTCAAGGTACGCAAACACAATAGAAAAACCCCGTGTGACCTCAGAAATGAACCGCTGGAAAGTTTGAGCCGAATTGCGGAGTCCAAAAGGCATCCGCACGTATTCAAACAACCCAAAGGGCGTCGTGATGGCGGTCTTAGGTATGTCGGCAGGCTCGACAGGAATCTGGTGGTACGCCTTAACAAGGTCCACTTTGCTGAAAATTGTGCAGCCGTCGAGGCGCGATGTAAAATCCTGGATGTGAGGTAGAGGATAGCTGTCGTGGACAGTCTTGGTGTTGAACGCTCGATAGTCCTCACAAGGACGCCAGTCACCAGGATAACGCTTTGGCGCCAAATGCAGCGGGGAAGCTCAAGCGCTTGACGACGGGCGGATAATGCCGAGCTGCAGCATGTGGTCAAACTCCCGTTTAGCAATAGCTAGGTGGTCTCCGAACAGGCGGCGTGGTCGAGCGGCTGCTGGTGGACCCCGGGTGACGATGTGGTGTGTCACCGTATGTTTAGGCGGCTGAGTGAGGTTGCACGGGTTAGTTAACTCCGGGAAACTCGCCAAGACTTTTTCGAATGGTGAGGAAGGTATCAGCATGCAGATGGCCATTGCAGCGATGTCGGACAGGACTCCCGAGATGGAGAGACGAGTCTTACCATCTATGAGGCGGCGCCGCCGTACGCTGACGTCCAAATCGAAGTATGAGAGGAAGTCCGAGCCGATGATCGGTTGAACCACGTCTGCGATGACGAAAACCCACCGGAAAATGCAGCGAAGGCCGAAGTCGAGGGTGAGAGATCGGAGCCCATACGTTGCTATAGACGAGGCGTTGGCAGCACGAAGCACTTGTCCCTGTGACTTTGAACGATCAGCCTTAGTAGGGGGCACAACGCTAATTTCCGCGCCCGTATCTATAAGGAACCTGGCGCCCGATAGCTGGTCCGTGACCATGAAAAGGCGGCTGGGACGAGAAGGGAGATCACACGCCGCCGTCAGTGATCCCGCCAGGCGTTTCCCTGCCACGAAAATCGGGGTGTACACTTCGTGGCTCGGTGTCGGAAACGCCGGTGGTACCAGCAGAGGGGTGGAGGGCTGGGACTCCGAGCATCTCGTGTGTGTGGAAGAGGTCGACGACCGGAGCGAGGCGAACGAGTCTCCTGCAGGGGGCTCCGGAGTGCGGCAATGGAGGCGGCGAGTTCGTCGATGCGGGCCTCAAGGCGCGAAATCGCTGTGTCTGCTGGTGGTAAGACAGCGTTGACAGATGGGGAGGTCGCTTCATGAACCTGATCGGCGAGCTCCGCCAGGCGGTCGAGATTGACGTCGCCGGCCGCCGCGAGGACGAGGCGGATTGGCTGAGAAAGGCGTTGCAGGAAGAGCTCGCGAAGCAACGCTGAGTGGGCAGAGACGTCGTGTTTCGCAAGAAGCTGTCGCATTCGGCGCAGTAGTTGGAAGGGGCGCCTGTCGCCCAGGTCCCCCTCTGCAAGGAGCTGCTGTAGGCGGACGAAGGCATGAATCGTTCCAGCACCTTGGTTTTAAGGTGCTGATATAGCGTAGTGTCCGAGGGGTTGGAGAGGACGTCGGAGAGCTCGCTGGCAACGTCAGGAGGAAGGACGGAGGCTACGTGGTAGTAGCGTGTCGTTTCCGAGGCGATGCGGTACAGGGAGAATTGCGCCTCGACCTTGTGAAACCAAACTTGCGGGTCCTGTGGCCAGAAAGATGGGAGACGCAGTTGCACGGCCGAAACGTCCTGCGGACGTGAGGCTTGTTCGGTTACGGGTGCATTCGAGCTAGTCATTGTCTTCGTCCGGGTCACCACTTGTAGCCTTATGCCATAGGAGCGAAAGAGAGACACGCCTGAACGATAACCGATGCCAGCCCGGAACGTGAGCCGTGGCTTCACGTGCCATTCTTTATTTTCTTCTGTCGCCATCGCGCACTCTCCGGTTTGCGCACCGCCCGAACGAGGGCGCTACAGCGTCAAAGCACTGAAGAGAAAACTTGGGACAGGCAAAAATCGGATGTATGCACTAAGGGACAAAGAAGGCAAAATAACTACCAATATGGATAGGATAGTTAAAATAGCAGAGGAGTTTTACAGAGATCTGTACAGTAGCCGGGACAAACATCACTTTAATACTATAAGAACTAGCAGTAACCCAGATGACACCCCACCAGTAATGATAGAAGAAGTCAGAAAAGCTTCGGAGAGCATGCAAAGAGGCAAAGCTGCTGGTGAGGATGAGGTAACATCAGATCTGCTGAAAGATGGAGGACAGATTGTGTTAGAAAAACCAGCCACCCTGTTTACGAGGTGTCTCCTGACGGGAAGAGTACCAGAGTCTTGGAAGAACGCTAACATCATCTCAATACATATGAAAGGAGATGACAAGGACTTGAAGAATTACAGGCCTATTAGCTTGCTCTCTGTAGTACACAAGCTATTTACAAAGGTAATCGCTAACAGAGTAAAGAAAACATTAGAATTCAATCAACCAAAGGAACAAGCAGGATTTCGAACAGGCTACTCAACAATCGACCACATTCATACTATCAATCAGGTAATAGAGAAATGCTCAGAATATAACCAACCACTATACATAGCCTTCATAGATTAGGAGAAGGCGTTTGATTCAGTAGAAATATCAGCTGTCATGCAGACACTGCGGAATCAGGGCGTCGATGAAGTATATATAAAGATCCTAGAAGAAATCTACAGGGGATCAACAGCTACCATAGTGCTTCATAAAGAAAGACACAGAATACCAATCAAGAAGGGTGTAAGGCAGGGGGACACAATCTCCCCAATGCTATTTACCGCGTGCTTACAGGAGATTTTCAGAAGCCTAGAATGGGAACAGTTAGGGATAAGAGTTAATGGAGAGTACCTTAGTAACCTGCGCTTCGCCGATGACATTGTATTGCTGAGTAACTCAGGGGACGAATTGCAACTCATGATTACGGAGTTAGACAAGGAGAGCAGAAACGTGGGTCTTAAAATGAATCTGCAGAAAACGAAAGTAATGTACAACTACCTCGGAAAACAGCAGCGCTTCGAGATAGGTAATAGTGCACTTCAAGTTGTAAAATACTCTGTCTACTTAGGGCAGGTCATAACCGCGGAGCCGAACCACGAGATTGAAGTAACTAGAAGAATAAGAATGAGGTAGAGCACATTTGGCAAGCACTCTCAAATTATGACAGGTAGATGGCCACTATCCCTCAAGAGAAAGGTATATAACAGCTGTATCTTGCTGGTACTTAGCTACGGAGCAGAAACCTGGAGACTTACAAAGAGGGTTCAGCTTAAATTGAGGACGACGCAGCGAGCAATGGAAAGAAAAATGGTAGGTGTAACCTTAAGAGACAAGGAGAGAGCAGAGTGGATTAGGGAAAAAATGACAGTTAAGTATATCATAGCTGAAATCAAGGAGAAGAAATGGACATGGGCCGGGTATGTAGCGCGTAGACAGGATAACCGCTGGTCGTTATGGGTAACAAACTGGATTCCCAGAGAAGAAAAGCGGGTTAGGGGGAGACAGAAGGTTAGGTGGGCAGATGAGATTAAGAATTTTGCGGGTATAAATTGGCAGCAGCAAGCACAGGACCAGGGTGGTTCCGCACAACGAGAAACGCCCAAGTCACGCCATAAGGAGCGTCTTAGCGTCTCACGTCGTCGTTAGCGTCTCACGGCGTCCCTGGGCTGGCGGACACCCGTCATGGCAAGCCAGCCCCCGAAGAAGGCGCTAGCCTTCGACGTAGTCGTCCCCGAGGGGACTAGTCCCGAAGACGTCGTTGACGCGACGTCTTCAATAGTAGGAATCGAAGAAGTATACTGCATT